GTTACAGTTACAGTTTAAGGAGAGACGAGAAGGGCTCTTAAAACGAACTGTCCGCAGGGAGAGAACTTGGGGAGAGTTTCGACAACTTTTTCAACTACCATGATTTTTACAAATAATTGTTTTATTCGTGTTGAATTGCCTTAATTGGATTCCAATGACTAAATCGAAGCAGGGCGGCCTATTGGTCTCCTCTTCGAGCTCCCCGCCGGTGTTCTCCGCGCTACTCGGTCTCGTGTACTTGAATCTATTCTCGTAAGCGTATTTGCTCATGTTACCGTAATAAAAGAACTGCCCCCCGTACTCGCCGTATCCCGAATACGTGGAGGCCGGCGGCGGTCTTCGGGACTCGGCCAACGACGGCGTCTGGAAACGTGCGAAAAACGACGCGTCTGTCAAAATCGTCGGAAAAAGTGTGTTTTTTTCGCTAATGTAATCAAGTTTTTGATAAATCAACAGACACCGTCCACGTGACAACTGATAACTTGACGGCACTACAAATTTCGCTTTCTAGAGGACGGCTGTCTGGGCAGCTGTTGTTCAACGACCACGTTAAAGTTTTACGAACCGTCGCTTGAAGAATCAGCTTGCGTTCGTGGTGCAGCTTATGGAACAGATGCTTGTTGTAGCTGCTGACCAGCCGGCGTAATCTCAGATACATGTATCGCTGCTTGTCCCGCCAGGAATACTCGTTACTTGCATTAGGCACCCGCAAGCACGTGAACCACGTGCGTTTTAGGACGTATCTGAGATGCATGCTGACCTGGAAAATTAACAATAAGTCGTGGATTTTAGGAGCCATATTTATATAGTATGTATTAATCATATCCATAGGCTGTAACTTAATTCAGATTTTCATAACTCTAATTTTTGCCTTGAAAGTTCTTCACCCAAGAGATGTTCATATGATATTTTGAAGAGATATTATTATCGATAATCTTTCTCGATTTTCTTTTTGCAAAATCTTCAGGTGATAAAATTTTGAAGGTGATTAATTTTTGAATTTAGATTTGCTTTACGAGAAATTCTTAAAAATCTTAAAAAATTTTGAATGTCTCGAAACTCTGGAAAATTTCTTTAGAACTATCTTTGCGATGA